CTGGAGAAACTGAGGGTCATGAAAGCCACAGAGGCTGGGATTAGATTGGGGATCCTCTCCCGCCCCCCCCGCCCCGCCCACATCTAGGGCTCTGTGCAGGGTAGGTGGGCACACACATTCCCCCCCCCTCCCGGGCCAGAGGAGTGTTCCCTCCTCCCCCAGCTGTAACCTTGATGGCCGAAGTTGCAGCATCTCTTTCACGCCCACCTCTTCCTCTGCGGCCTCCATCTGATGCGCTTGGGGGTTCGCTGTTATTTTTAAGCCGCTTTTCCCACGGCTTCTCAGAACTCAGCGTCTCTCTTGGATGGGGGGGGAAGGGGAGGGTCTTGGTGTGATACCGAAGCTACTGCTGGGGCCGGGGAGAAGCGGGTGTAGGGGGAGTCTCCACTGCTGGACAAGCTAGGGCCTGGGAGGAGATTGGTGCTGGGAATGGAGGTAGCTGCAGACAGCAGGGCTGGCTGGGTGCACAGCTCTCCCTGTCTCGGTGCCCCCTTGGAAGCTTGGCCTGAGAACAGAGGCCTCCCTTCCGTTCTGTGGGGTGCATGAATTGCACCCCATTTGACATGCTGAGGGCAGGAGGGTCTGTCCGCCTCTCAGGCGCTTGCAGCCCAGTGCCAGCCGGCTTAGACAAATACTCATCTTCACCAACAAAAGGCGGGGGGCGAAGTGTTTGTTCATGAATCCTCCCCTCCCTTCCCGGGACCCTCCTGAGCCAAGAAGCAGAGGGGCAGATCCTGCCCGGTCCCTTGCCCAGTGTTAGGCTGCTGCTGATTGAAAAGCCACCCCTCCCTCCGCATTAGGAGGGCGCGGGGTGCACCCGTGATCGATCCCTGCTGGGGTATCCTTCCCGTGTGTGTGTGTAACTAAACATCAGCACGGCCTGGCCTTCTCCCCACAACCAGGATTGTTGTGTGCGCGTCTGCCCTGCTCCCCTCCCTCTGTGCTTTTCCCCTGACTGCTGGGGGGGGGGGGGGGGGGAGGAGGAGCTGGAGGAGAGGCTGGAGGAGGCTGGAGGAATAGCACCCCCCCCCGGCCTGGCGAGCATTAAAGCCGGCCCCCCAGGCAGGTGGAATGTGAAGTGGCAGCATGGGGGGAGGGATGTGGGCTGGGGGGCCCTGGGGCAGCACTAGCCAGCCCCTCAAGCTGGGCCTTTAATATTCTCCCCCCCCCCCCCGCCCTTTTTCCTCAGAGCAGATGGCGGGTGATTTATGCTGCCAGGCACCTCCTAGAATAAGTAATGGGATGGGGGGGAAACCGAGCCACGTTGGGATCTCTGGCCTTGTTTAGCTGTGGGGGCGGAGAGCAGCTGCTGGGGCTATGGGGAGGGGTTTTCTTCCCCCAACCTCCCTATGATTTGGGCATCCCGTGCTTTTCATGGGAGTTCCTTGCTCCCCTCTCCTCCCAGCTGCTCCATCACCTGCCACTCTCTGAGCCTGTGGGGTGGGGGGGAGATGGGGGAGGGTGACAAACTCCTCTCCGCTCCCCATTGTAGGTGTTTTGGGGGGGGGCGTGAAGGTGCTCTGCCTCGCAGTGGCCTTTTTCACTGTGTGCTCTTGCCTGAGTCACGCTGCAGAGGGGCCCACCCGCCCCCGGAGCACTGCGCTGGGGGGGGGGTGTCCTCGCCTGCCCCCTCGCTGTCCTCTAGTCACCTTCCTGAGTCGCTGCCGGTCCCTGGCCACACGCTCGCCTGGCAGGGCTGCTTCACCCTGCCTTGCTCTGCGTGACTTGGTGGCTCTGCTCCGGGGGAGGGGGCAGAAGTGCCCCCCATGCTCAGGGAAAGGCTCCCCCATCTCTTCACTTCTCTTGTCCGGCAGCGGAGCTGTGGGCATCGCAGGAGCTGGGGGCCGGTGGCGCAGCCCTTCAGACTGGCTCCTGGCCCCCCTCCTCGCCTGCTCTGCGCGGTTTTCCTGCCTGTCTGCCTTGGGCCGCGGTAACCTCTGTTGCGGGATCTGCACGGGCGGGGATGGGGGGCGTGAGGCTCTTCCCCCTTTTTCGCACAGAGCATGATACAGGGTTGGGGGGTGGGGGCTCCCTGAGAAGGCACTCTGTGGTCGCCCTCAGCGAGTGACACGCCACCCCGGTGGTCTTGGCTGCAGAAAGGTCAGGGGTGCGTGTAGGGGGAGCTGGGAAAGGGTGACTAACGGCTCGTAGGTGACGGCTGCTGGGTGGGCAGAGCGTGAGAGCTGGCAGGGCTTCGGGGGAGCCCCGTTCAGCAAGGATCCTGTTGGCGGAGTGACTTTACCCCTGTGGGGTGGGAGGGACTGCATGGGCCTCCCACCCCAGCTGGGTCTGTATGGCCGGCCTCCCTTCTCATGCCACAGCAACGGCTCCCCAAGGTGGGGGCTCTGCGGTGACATACTCAGTGACGCCCCTCCAGCCTCCCTCTGTCTCTCTTTCCTCCCCTTCCTGGTCACCCGACTCCATGGAATCTGATCAGCGATGAGGGAGATTAATGTCTCTGGCCGCGCCCTCCCCCGGCGAGTGGTCCAAGGGTTCAGCAGATGCGTGTTTCCCTCTTTCCCCCCCAAGTGCTGACTTCTTCCCCCATCCCCAGCTCAAACGCCAGAGGCCCCTCCACTTCCTGCAGCCTTGCTCATTGGGGTGGGAAATACATCACAAGGCAACGTGGGGGGAGGAGGGGAGTGCCCCTCCTGAACTGCCGGACCTTGTTGAGGGTGCCCAGACACCAAGTGCTATGTGGGGCAGGCTGCAGTTTGATACATAGAGAGCTTGGATTTCCTCGGTCCTGCTCATGAGCCTTCAGGTTAACGAGGGCCAAGCTAGCAGGAGATTGGATAGAGCTGGGGCAAGGTGGTATATGTTGTGCTGAGCCCCAGATGGAGGAAAATTCCTGAGTGTGAAATCCACAGTGGGTTTTCCCCCTGGGCTTGGCCTTCCTGGTTAAAGGTCCCGCTGGAGATCTCCAGCTGCTGGGGGAATTCCCCTTCTTCCCAGCATCCCCCTCCGTCTGGGGCAGTGAACGAGAAAGAGATGCTGTGAAATCCCAACTACCTCTCCAGGAGTCTTCTGATAGTTCAGTGGGTACTTCTTTGCAATCCTCTGTGGCTGTTTCCCTCTCGACTAAGTCACTGTGCAGGGATTTGGCTCCAATGCAGCCCTGGGACCCAAAGATCTAACTCAGAAATGGCCACTGAATTGTCTGGGTGTCTGTTTCTGGTCCCCCAGAGTTGATACCCCCACCATGGGTGTTGGGCCCTGGCAGCTCACGTTGACATTGGGTGTGCTTGTAGGTGCTCAGCGTCTCTGGAAGACAGTCCAGTCCTGGGTGTCTTACGTGAGAGCCTCCATAACATGGGAGACCCAGATGTTTCCTTTCCCCTTTTAAAGATCTAACGTGTCATCTGCCTTTGTTTCACGGGTGTGTGAGATGGGCCCCCATGCCCAGAAACTGGGTTTATCCAGTGATTGAACAGGGCAAGTAGTCCGCTGAGGGACTGGCCCCAAGTCCTAGCCATGAAAGAAGTGTGCTTAGCCCCTTGGGCTGGAGGGATGTAGCCCCTCTGATCCTTACTTAGTGCTTTGTAGTGGGAGGTCTGGACATGCCAGCCAAGTCGTATTACAGCGCCTGGAAGGGCTGCTATCGCTCCAGATGGGGCGAGGAGCAGGGAAAATGGGGGTGACCCCTTAGCATTGGCCGTGACCTCCTTGGAAAGGAGGGAGTCAGGTGACTTTTCTTGGCATTGTCTCCGTCCCCTGCCACTGTCTCAGGTGCAGCGGGCTTGGCAGATGCTAGACTCGCCGGGGAAGAGAAGCCTCTTTCAGGCTATAGGGAAATGCAAATGCACAGCTGTGCAAATGAAAAGGGGTGCGTGTGTCACTGGGGTGGGGGTGGGCAGAAAGCGTCCACAGTAAGAGCCATGAAGAGTATGTCAGAGGGTGGATTCCAGCCCCCGCTGCTGGACCTTGTCCCGCTTGCCGCGCCCCCCCCCCCCCCCCGGCTCTGGTTAATCTCCTCCTGTGCACTGCGGGGAGCGGCTGTGTGGGCAGGTTTATCACCAGGGTGGGGTGGCAACCCTCCCCTGTTTTTATTTTTGTAAAAGCCGCCTCCGTCAGTTGCTCCCCTGGCACCATGGGTCACGCAAGGATGAGATGTGGCAGGCGAGTCCTGAGGGTCCTGAGCTTTAACCCATCAGGGTTCCCTCCCACCCCCTGCACCCCTCTGCCCGGTGTCCTACCGGAGTTCCGGGGATCTGGGAGGACCTTGCAGCTAGAAACTCCTAAGGAGCAAGGGGGTCCCTCTTCTAAAAGGCCTGGCTTCTCAGTTGTAGCCCCGACGTGGCCCCTGCCTATCCAAGGCAGCTGCCCCCACCCTGCTGGGCTCTTGGCACGCTCCCCCTTTCCTGCTTCTGCTCAGTCAGCAGTCGTGGGAGCTCTCCGGGTGCTGATGCCCATGTCGCTCTGGGATGGCTGCAGGCTCCTTCCGGGTCCATTGCCCTGCTGCAGGGAACGCGGCCCTTCTGTATGTGGGCTGGGAGAAGACAGTGTGGGCATGGGGGGTGAGCTCATGGTGGGGGAAGAATGGGATACAGACTGGGGGTTGTGTGGGGGGGGAAGGGGGTGGTTAATGGCTTCTGGGCCAAGTACCTACCCCAGAAACACAAATCCAGCTCCCTACCCCTAAATGATCAAAGCAACCTTTCAGATCCTACCCCCCGTCCATCGTCCCCCCCCAGTCCTGTGATCAGTCTACTCAGGGGAAGCCCATGGGTGCCCCCCTCTAGGACTCCTGTTCCTTCACTGAATCGGGGAGCCAGAGGGGCACAGCTGGGCAATGGAGAGAAGGCAGCGCCACTTGGCAAAGTCAAAGCAACCCCGAGCTGTCCTGTCCCGTTCCTCGCCCCCATATCTTGGAACCGGTTGCACCGGGGACCGTTCTGCTGCCCCTTTGCAGTGGGTCGGACTCTGCTGGTGCCCCCACCTCACCCAAAGCTGCTGCACCGCGATTGAGACTGTGACCCTAACTCCTCTCCTCTCCTCAGGTCAATGACTTCCTGTCAGGAAGGTCCCCCCTGACGCTAGCCCTGCGGGTCGGCGACCACATGATGTTCGTGCAGCTCCAGCTGGCGGCTCAGCAGAGCGGAGGGCAGCTCCAGCATCGGCACGTCATCGCCAGCCGGGGGGAGCCCGGGGCAGCGGCCGGCCCCACCCCCCAGTGCAGGACGCTTCACGGAGGGAGCAGCTCCAACTTCGCCCGTATCCCAGTGGTGCCCACCTGCCAGCAGAGCCCCGCCCCCAGCCCCGCCCCCTCGGCACAGGCCACGCCCATGTACTGTAACGCCGCCCACCCAGCCCCTGTCACAGCTGGGATGTTCCGGTCACACGGGGCCAGCACGCAAACAGTTAACAGCAGCGTCGTCTCCTCCTGCTCAGAGGTGAGTCTGGCTTTAAAAAATAAGTCAGGTGGGGAGAGAAAAGGAGGGAGCTGGGCCTCCAGATTCCTGGGTTCTAGTCCTGGGTCTGGAAGGTGTCTTTTCTTTAGTGGTTAGAACAAGAAGCTGTCTATTTCCACTCCTGCCACTGACCGGTCACAGCCCAACTCTGTGCTTCAGTTTCCCCATCTATAAAACGAGGGTGTTGTGAGGCCTTGTTACATTTTTCCAAATGCTGTGAGATCCTGAGGCAAATGGTGCCAGAAAAAGGCATAGTATTCTCTTTTTATTGCAAAGCGTAAGGCAAAGGTCTCCTGCTTTAGATTTTGGCAGGGGGTGTCGGGGGAGAGCGTTTCCCTGTGTGAGAGACGCTCTCCAGTCTGGTCTGTGTACTGCCTCTTGTGCTTTGACTGCAAAATGCTTATAATCCAAGGAAAACCCCAACCTGCCATGGGAGGAAATATCCAGCAGCCCTCAGGTCTCAAAGTAGGATCACTGCTTATCAGACTCATCATAATCCTTGGCTGGCATCTTTCATTGCCAAGCACTTCCCAAAGGCAGGCAGCCACATTATCCCCATTTCACAGGTGGGTAAACTGAGGCACAGATAAGGGAAAGCAACTTACTCAAGGTTTTGCAGCAGAGCTGGGAGTAGATCCCAGGTCTTCTCGTGCCCTAACCACTAGACCATGCTCCCTTCCAAGTGAGTGGGTTTCTTGGCCCAAATGGGTTCATGGGTCTTGGAGGCTCAAGACCCAAACGTAAGGCAGATGTTAGCAATGAAGATGCCCTCTAAATCCTTTTTCTTCACTGTGAATGGTTTTGAACGGGGCTTGGCCAATGGCAGGTTTGAAACCTGGCTGATTTCTGATATTGCTTTTGGAAGTGCCCTGTGACTGCATGGCCTAGTTGATATAGCATTGGACTGGCATGCAGAAGATCTGGGTTCTGTTCCTGGCTCTGCCATTGCTGGGTGAGCAAGTTGCTTCAGTGCCCTGTACCTCAGTTTCCCCATCTGTAAAATGGGGATAATGACGCTGCCCTCCTTTGTAAAGTGCTTTGAGATCTGTGGGTGACAAGCACTAGTTAAGATCGAAGGACAATGATGATTATGGGATCGCCCTGCGTGGGTGTGGGTACTGCCTTGTCCCAAAGGGTTGAGGGAAACCTCACGCCTTATGCTTGCCAAGGAAATAAGATTGCAACTTTGGAGTTTGGATGTGGGACTTTTTCCCCCAGCCACCCGTCAACCTAGGGTCTGCCCCTGTGGCTGCAGGTTAGTGGGAGCCTTCAGGTCCATTAGTGTCTGTTTGCTTCTAATGGCTAATAAGCGTCTCTCTTTCCTTCCACTTGCCAGGTGGACTGTAGCACCCGGAGTAACAATTCTGCCAGCAGCAACCCAGCCCCAACAAGCCGATCCCGCAAGCCTGGCGCAGTCATAGAGAGCTTCGTTAACCACGCTCCTGGGGTCTTCTCAGGGACCTTCTCCGGTACGTTGAGAGCCCAGGGGACTGTGGGCTCGATTCTCCTCTCACCAGTTCCGGTGCGATGCCATTGGCAAGCACCGGTGTGTGTGGCTGGGGAATTGGAGACTGTCTTTTTTTCACGCTGCTTGTGCAGAACAGTGGGGAGGGGAGAACCAGGGCTGGACCAAGGCCCAGGTTGGTTGGCGTGGTAACCAGAAGCTGTTGCCAAGTGAGGGCAACTTTTGGTGGCTAATGAGAGCTGAGTTTGATGCGTCTCTTCCTACCTCAGCATCCTGCCTGGGATGAGGGCTCGTGCCAGCTTTGGCTGCCAGCCTTCCTGGGAGATTCAGTGCATTGACCCCCTCGACCCAGGGCCCTGCACTGTGACCTGCCCCAGAACACAAAGATGCTTATGGGGAGCCACTGAGGGGTGGGACAGAGTGTGCCAAGGATAAGGCTCAGCTACTGCCCCCCAAGCATCCCCTACAGGCAGCCTGGCATGACGCATCCCCCCTGACCCTTTTCCTCCCCCTCCCCCTGACTCTTCTCCCCTGCAGGCACTTTGCACCCCAACTGCCAGGACAGCAGCGGGCGGCCCCGGCGTGATATCGGCACCATCCTTCAGATCCTCAATGACCTCCTGAGCGCCACGCGGCACTACCAGGGCATGCCTCAGTCCCTGACGCAGCTGCGGTGCCAGACGCAGTGCGCCCCCTCCTCGCCCCCGCCCTCCCCGGACCCCGCCAGCAAAACTACCTCAGAGAAACTGACGTCCGCGACCGCCATGGCCTCGCAGCCCCTGCACTCTGTGGTCCAGTGCCAGAGCCAAATCAGGATGTGCAAGCCCAGTGGTGAGTCCCGCCCCGTGACCCCCGCATGTGTCCCTGTGGCTGTTTGCTTGTCCCTGTTGGCTGAGCTATGGCTTTGCCGCTCGCCGCAGGCCTCGTTGTTGGGGAAGCTGTGACATGTCCATGGCAACTGGGCTGGACCAGGCCCACCACGGGCCCAAGACAGGTGTGATGCTGAGAGTGCTGGCTGGGTCCTGGCACCCCATTGATTTCAGTGGTGTGTGGACAGAGGCGCAGCTGAGTGAAAGTTAAAGGCCATCAGAGGCAGGAGGATGGTTCTGCTGATCATCTTAGTGCGGCGCTCAGAAGGAGGAGTGGGGGGGGGGCTTTTGCATTTCTTTCTCCCCAGGCCTAGGTTCTTGATGGGCTGCAGGGCCCCTGCTGACGACAGAGGAAGTGTGGGTGATGGGGTGGGAAGGAAGGAGGCTGGGTCCCTAGCTGGGATTTGCTTGCTCCGATTCACTTCCTCTGTGTATCCGGTTCCGTCTGCCTCTTTGTTCTGTAACTGTCCTGATGGGGCTTCCAGCCAACTGGCGGGGAAGGGGGGGCAGCGAAGGGGGAGGGTGAAAAGCCGAGTGTTCCCAAGTACCACGATTTGCCCTTCGCCGAAAGAAGGCCGAGAGATTGAGCCTGGTTCTGGGTGAAACCCCAGCACTTCTAGCCAAGGGTTAACTCCCCTGGTAGAGCTGCCTGTGCTCAGACTCCACCCTCTGCTGCAGAGTAAAGAGCCTGTTTGTTTGCTTATTTATTTATTTTAATGACTGGCCCTTTGCCATCTTGTTCCAAAAGCCTCTTCGCATAGGACCCCCCCCCAGTGTCTGTAAAGACTGCAGAAGGCTTAACAGCAGAATAATTAAACCAATGGAGGCTGTTGATTGACTTGGGGGGGCTGGGTGTGTGATGGGGCGCTCTGTTTACACCGTGTGCTAGGCACAATAGCCCACATGCTCAAAGGTGTTTAGGGTCCTAATTCCTTGATTTCAATGGAAGCTAGGGGCCAAAATACCAGTGAGGGTCTGGCCCTATAGAAATGGAAGGTCCCTGCCCTGACGATCTTACAATGCTATTATCTTTAGGTCTTCTGCTTGTGATTTGCCTATTAAAATGTACTGTCATGCCTATGCTTTCTTGGCTACATACTGATTTGGAGTGATGCAGAATCGCCCCATTGGAGGGACCCAGTATCAATGGTCTCACCCTCCAGTGGGCAAGCTGGGGGCTATGCATTTAATGTGCAAGTTTCTCTCCTCTTTAAAAAAAAAAAGAAAAGAAAAGAAAAATCTCTTTGCCCCCAATTTGCATCTCATCCATGCAGTTAAGGCGTGCAAGGCGCTCAGTGATTCCCTGAGGAATTTGCAAACCTATTACCTGTTTCTTATCTGTGTGTTTACCTTTCCCCTTCAACCCTAGTAGGGGGTGTGTGTGCCCCAGTGAGTTAATGTAGAAAACCACAGGGCTTGTGTTAACCCATTCAATGGGCAGGGGCTATAGTTGGCTGATTACTCAAATGGGGTTCTAAAAGCTGCCAAATAATGTCACTGAAAGAAGAGACTGTCAATTTTGCTTCCTGTTTGGTGAATTGGACTCAGGGGGATGGGGAAACTAGTCCTGGCACTGAAAATAAAATAAAATTTTAAAACCTAAGACTTAAAATGAAGAGCCAAGATTTTCACTGGTGAATTTTGGGACTCCAACATGGTCTGATCTTCAAAAAGTACCCTTTGCAAATCAGGCCCCTCTGTTATACTACCTAGCACTTTTAATCCGTAGATCTCAGAGTGCCTTACAAAGGATGTCGGTTTTATGATCTCCCCCCTACCCTTCAGAGATGGGGAAACTGAGGCCCAGAGTCTTGCCCAAGGTTACCCAGCAGGGCCATGGCAGAGCTGGGAATAGAATCCAGGTCTCCTGAGTCCCACTGTTGTGCCCTAGCCACTAGGTGTCCCCTGTCAGAAGGCGGGGGACACCCCAAAAATCTCTAGTTACTTGTGAGAATCTTGGCTAAGGATTGTGGAAGCTCTTCAAGGGCAGGGGCTGCGAACACCTGTGTGTGTGTACAGCACCCATTAAGGGGGGAGGGGTCCTAAGTCTGATCAGGTTAGCTGTGATATAAATAAGTTGGTGTTCATAGGTGTGACCTTGAGGCTTGGTGGCATGGTTCTGAAGGAACACGTGCGTGTCCCATTGTAGGTCTCCAACACTGTTTGGCACAGTTGGTGACATTGAGGACTGTTCCGTATACAGGGGGCACTTAATGCCTTTGGGAAACTTTTGCCCCACTTACTCAGATGTTTAAAATGGGGGAACCAAGCGCTGGCCCCGGTTGTGGCCGCTGGCTGAACTCTTCTCAGAATTATCTGGCCGTTTTTTTTATGTTCCATATGTTCGTTGAACCGTGTTCTGTGCCGGCATTGTGACTCCATTCGGATTGGTGGCATTACCAATGGGTAACTTGGCCTGGGGTGTGCATGTGTGGGTTTTGGAGGACTCCTGGAATGGGGGTGACTCTGTGCCCCCCCCCCCCAGCAATTCCTGGTGCAGAAAGATTTTTATCCCTTCCTCTGATCTCATTCAGCAAGCCACCATCTCCTCCCACTTCCTTCTTTCCCTCCAATCTCTCCTGTCTGTCCCCTGCTGCTCTCGCCTCTGTTCCGGCTACAATGCAGCCACACACGCACACCCCCTTCTCCACTTGCCGTCTAAATCCAGGGCGAGACAAAGGGCCCCATTCAGAGCAAGGGAGGCTGGTTGGGGAGGGGTGGGGAAGAAAGCACTTGGCCTCTGGTTTGGCATTTTTGGCCTGGCCCTGAGGAAGCTGTAGGCTGGGGACATGCTGCAGAAATAGAAGTCGGGGGGAGGGTTTGTGTGTGGGGTCAACACAAAACAATCCTGCTTTTTCTTCCTGGCAGACTTGAAAATATACTTCCTACCCCTCGCCCTGGGCCCTTTCCCAGCTGGGGGCAGAGCCCTCTGTCTGGGTGCCAAGCTTTGGGGTGCTTCTAGCCAGACATCTGCCTGGCTAGGACTTTGCATCTGCCCTCGATTACGCAGGATCCTAGAAGTCAGACGTGTGCCCCCAGCCCCTATCCAGTTTGCCACCTCTGCAGAAGTTCATGAGCCTTGCAGCTGTCGCAGACAAGCCATTGGCATAGTCTGTCCAGGCACCTGCGTGGAGGCAGTGGGGTCTAGTGATCAGAGCACAGGGTTGGGAGTCAGGACTCTTGAGTTCTATCCCCAGCTTCGGGAGTGGAATAGGATCCAGTGGTTAGAGCAGGAGACTGGGAGTCAGGACTCCTGGGTTCCATTCCCAGCCTCGCTGATGGCTCACAATGGCCAAGAGGCTCGCCCTCTCTGTGCCTTGGTTTCCCCCCAGTGTGGGACCGTTTCCTGACATCACACACGGGTGGGGGTGGGGTGGCTCCTGCGGCCAAACCCATGCGCTGCCAGCCAAGGGCTTTGAGGTCCCGCCAAGGGCAGAGCGTCGGTAAGAGGCTGTGTATGCGGCTGGTAAGGCAGGGCCCTGTCTCTACCCCGCCCACCCGTTCCCATGGCAGGGCTCGGCTGGGGTATGCGTGTAGGAGGCCTCCACTTATCTGCAGGGAGCAGCTCTTTATTCACCTTGAGCTTTGGGCCCTGTGCCGCCCCCTCCCATCCCCAGAAAGTTAATTTCTTTCCTTCCCGCCCCCTCCTTGTTCTTCCTTTCATGACGCCGGAGCCGCCGAACAGGGCTTAGCAGGATTCTTGCGCCCGGGGACGTCACCGGCATGTGAGACGGGCAGCTGCCCTCCCTCATAGGGAAGCGTCTCTTGGCAGGGGAGAGAGAAATGAGACGTGGCAACCAACCAGCTTCCGAGCTGCCCAGATGCTGGCGGCTGCTTGCCCTGGGGCCGGGGCAGGATTCGGGGTCTCTCTCTGCTTGTGGGGACCTGAGGGGTGCGGGGGGGGGGGTGTCGTCCTCAGATGAGCTCCCTCCATCTCTCTCCATTCTCCTTTCCTTTCCCCTCCATCCTGCCTTCCCAAGCTCACTGCTGCAGGCTGCCTAGCAAACCCCAGCCTCTGGCTTCAGCCCTTCCTACGTTCTCCTTTTCCGCCATCCCCGGGGAGGCCTCTCTGGGTGAGCTCCCCTCCTCCACTCAGAGCAATGCTGCTTCCTCCCCCCCGCAGCCCCTCTCAAAGTCCTTTCAAGCCCCCCTTGCTGGGATCGACCCCCCAGAGCAGCCTGGGGCCGGGGGGGAAGCTGCATTCCATCCACCCCAGCTTCCCCGCTCTGTTTGTTCACTTGGCTCCGGCGCAGGGAGGTGGGCGCTGCAGAAAAGAAACTGAGGGGGAGGGAGAGAGAGAGAAGAAGAAGAAAAAGAAGGGGGTAAGGCGGTGGGGGGGAGAGGCAACAACAAAGGCCCTGCTCCAGGGGCTGGAGATGTGCTGAGCCCTGCAGGAAGCCGACTCCAGCTGCCCCCCACCCCCACCCCGTTCCTAGGGTTTGGGAGGGGTCATGGGCCTTTCACTGATTGGTTTTGAAATAACATTGCACACCTTGCTTCCAGCCTCTTCCCGTGCCCCCCGATCGGTGCTGCTTAAACTCTGCGTGTGATTGTGGGGGGCGGGAACCCAACTCCTCCCCCCACCCCATTTAATTCACCCTCCATCGGTACCCAAGGGTGGAGGAAGCTTTTGTAAAGCTATTGACTCTGGGACCCCCTTTAAGCCCACGCACACACATTGCAAAGCCCCATGAATGGTTAGAGTAGGAAATGGCTGGTTCTCCGCTGGAGATGATCTGTGTTGGGGGGACAGCGGGGGGGCTGTGGGAACAGCCCTCTCTCCTCTTCCCAGTAGGGGTTTGAAACTGGGGCAGGAGGGGGTGCTGGGTGGAAGGGAGGGGCTCGGCAGATAGGGTGTGTCTGAGACGCACTCGCTCAGGCGTGGAAGGTAGCGTCTCTCCTCCCGCTCCCCCGCCCAGCAGTCTCTCCCCTTTGTACACCTGCACTGCTCGAAGCAGGAAG